TACACCCAGCTAATTTTTTGCATTTTTAGTAGAGACGGAGTTTTGCCATGTTGGCCAGGCTGGTCTTGAACTCCTGGCCTCAAGTGATTCACCCGCTCCAGCCTCCCAGGCATGAGCCACCGTGCCTGGCCAGTATTATAATCTTAAGTGACCACCATTGTATATGTGGTCCACTGTTGACCAAAATGTTATGTGGCATATGCCTGTATTAGATTTGGAGTGTAGGTGAAAGTGAAAGAGTTATCTTTTTTTTTTTTTTTTTTTTAAAGAGACAGGATCTCGCTCAGTTACCTGTCTTGGAATGTAGTGGCACAAACATAGCTCACTGCAGTCTTGCATTCCTGAGCTTAAGCGATCCTCTTACCTCAGCCACCCAAGTAGCTGGGACTGCAGGCAAGCACCACCATGCCTGGTTAATTTTTTTATTTTCGTTTTTAGAGTCAGGGTCTCACTACATTGCCCTGGCTAGTCTTGAACTCCTGGCCTCAAGTGATACTCCCACTTCAGCCTCCCGAGTTACTGGGATTATAAGCATGAGCCACCAAGTCAGGCTTTTATCTTTAGATTAATATTAATTTATCATGTTATAGTTGTAAAAGCACAGAACTAAGAGTAAGGAGTTTTATACCCATTACTACAGCTAGCAACTTTGTGACCTTGGGCAAATATCTTCACTTCTCTGGCCCTTTATCTACATAAGGAAAACCGAGACCAGATAATTCTACATCTCTTCTTTCCAGAATTAAAGCATTTTAACGTAATATTATATCTGTTTTTCTGTTTGTCTTTTGCTTGCCAGGGAGAAGTTACACACTGGTTGGCATGTTCATTATACGTTGCATGCCGCAAAAGCATTATTCCCACGGTTGGAAAGGGTATCATGGAAGGCAACTGTGTTTCACTTACCAGAATACTACGTTCAGCTAAATTAAGGTAAACCTCTTTCATGTTTTTAAGTGTTATATAAGCTCTAAATTTTAGAATCAGTTTTCTCTTGTTTTGAAATCATTTGACTTCATTTAATTTTTATTTTATTTATTTATTTATTTATTTTTGAGA